TCTCTGGGCTCCGACTGTCCCCATGGGGCCGGCCCCTCTGGAGAGGGCTGCCATGAGGGGCAGGGTCCCTCCCCCACCCTCTGGGGCCTCCAGGCTGAAACAGGAGGGGAGAGCGTGCCCAGAGAGGTGGCAGGTGCCCCGGAAATGGAGTCTCGGGAAGCGCAGAGACCATTTTCATCTTCTGGTGGAGATCCTTGCCTTGCTGAGCAAGAGAGGTCCTCCCAGGAGAGCTGTGGGGGGCAGCCGGCTCCTTTTTGTCACCCCCAGAGGGGCCCTGCCACCCGGAAGGGCTCTGATCCCCCTGAGGCTGTTGCACCCCAAGCTCCTGGCTCCTTCCTCTCCCGGGGACTGCAGGCTCCCTCCTCCCCAGCTCAAGCAAGCCTCCAGCCAGGCTCTAAGATGGGGCTGGAGGCCACCCTGTTCCCTGGGAAGCCCCGTCCCCCCAGCTCTCCAGGGCCAGCCTCCCCATCTGGCATGGCGCCCGGCTCCTCCCTGGACACCGAGGATCTAGCCCAGGAGACAGAGGGCCTGTGGGAGTCTGAGCCCAGCCCACCTCAGCCTCGGGAGCAGGCGACCTCACGGAAGTTCTCCCTTGGGCACCATGGCGGTTATGCAGGCGTGGCTGGCTATGGCGCCTTTGCCTTTGGCGGGGATGCGGGAGGCATACTGGGACAGGGACCCCTGTGGGCCCGGATGACCTGGGCCACCTCTCAGTCCTTGGAGGAACAGGACGAAACGGGGGCCGAGAGCCCACTCCCCCAGGCCAGCGTGGTGCCCTTGCCAGAGGGCAGCGGGGGCAGGGGATCCCAGGTGTCGCTGGTGCAGATCCAGGACCTGTCAGGGGACATGGAGGCAGCAGACACCATGTCTCTGGATATATCGGAGGTGGAGCCTGCCTACCTCAACCTGTCGGACCTGTACGACATCAAGTACCTTCCCTTTGAGTTCATGCTCTTCAGGAAGATCCCCAAGCCAGAGCTGCCACCATCCCCAGCGTCGGAGGCCAGGGAGGAGCTGGCTGAGCTCCCAGAGGCCACGTGGTCCTGGCAGGGCGGGCTGGGCCTGCCTGCCAGCCTGGAGATCAGGGAAGAGCTGGAGGACAGTGAGGCCCTGTTCAGGGAGGCAGGTGGCAGCAGGAAGCGCAAGTGGTCACCCCCCTCCAGTGGCCGGCGCTTCCCCGGGCGGCATGCCCTGCTGGACGAGCCTGTGGAGCTGGGGCTGCGCCAGAAGGTGAGGGCCTCAGTGGCCCATATCTCCAGCCTCCTGAGAGGCAGGCCTCAAGGTGAGTCTCCCCCCACCCCCCGCCATCATGGGGGCTTCTGGGCCTGGCCAGGTGTGCCCTCTGTACCTTGGGGCACCTTGCACACATGCCCAGGAATCAGCTCAGGAGCCCACCTGAGGCAGGAAGCCCTCCCTACCCCTGCCTGTGCCTGTGCCTGTGCTGCCCACCCCCATGTCCATGGGCTTCTGTTCCCAAGGTCATCTTCTTGGCTTCATCCCCTCCCATGTGCCTCTGAGACCTAGTGCTGGGACCTGGAGCAACTGCAGGGGTTACACCCCCGCGGAGAGGATCCTTCCCGGGCCAGTCTTCCTGACCCCTGACCCTCACTGACCCCACCTGACCCCAGATCTCAGCCAGGACTTCCGGGCACCTGTACCCCTGAGCTGCTGGCCTTACTTGCCAGAGGTCCTCCCACTCAGAATGGACAGATGCTGACAGGCTAGGGAGGGGGTGGACTCCTCAGCAGATTTAGTTTGTTTCCCCCAAAACCCCCTAGGATCTGGGCTTTTCTGCGACATGGAAATCTGGCAGTGGGTGGTAGGTGGCCCCAGAGTCCTCCTCCCGTGCTCCTGATGGCAGTGCCAGGCAGCTGGCTGCCCAAAGGGGCCAGCCTCTTGGTGTGACCTCCCTTGGTCCTGTCCTCCATGCAGGTCCAGAGAAGGAGGGTCCCCCTAGGAAAAAGGCAGGCCTAGTTTCCTTCCGGCTGTCGGGTCTGAAGAGCAGAGACCAAGGTGAATGTGCTTCCTGGGACTGGGTCCCCCTGCTGCCCAGGAGACCACAGTGCCCAGACCAGCAGGGGGGCAAGCTAAACCCACAGTGACTTGAGCCCAGATGGGGCTGCTCGGCTCCCTGGCTGTCGGGACTGAGCACTTCCTGGAGGAGGTGCTAGTGTTGAAGATGAACTGGGTGGGGTGGGCTTCTCTCCAGTATCCCCACCTCGGGTTGTATGCTCTGCCTGAGATCACCTCTGACACTTGGTCCACCTCCCTTCTCTAGCGCCATCCTTCCTAAGGGAGCTTGCAGATGAGACCGTGGTCCTGGGCCAGTCTGTGACTCTTGCCTGCCAAGTGTCGGCGCAGCCAGCTGCCCAGGCCACCTGGGAGAAAGGTAAGGAGCTATCCTGGTGTCGGCGAGGAGGTGGAAGCGTGGCAGGACAGCAGGGGGTATTCCTTGACTTCATGGCCATCAACTTACAGAGGGAAACTGAGGCCCAGATAGGGTGTGGGGCTGGGTGTTTTGAGCTTCCCCCCAGGCTTGCTTTGTCCCAATGCAGATGGGGTCATCCTGGAAAGCAGCAGCCGCCTCCTCATCTCCTCCACACTAAAAAATTTCCACCTTCTGACCATCCTGGTGGTGACCACTGAGGACCTAGGCGTGTACACATGCAGCGTGCACAATGCCCTGGGCACGGCAGCCACCACAGCTGTCCTCCGGAAGGCAGGTGTGTGGGCCTCGCCAGGCCATCTCAGCGGGGACTGGGAGAGGGGCCACTCCAGGCTATCACCTCCTCCCTGAGTTTCCAATGGGTCAGGCAGGCCTAGTCTTAGACCCCACTGATCCCTAGAGGGGGTCAGGTGCCCTGCTCTACCACTCAGCCAAGCTGAGGCATCTCTGACCAGAACTTGGGGTGGGCAGGGGCCTGCGAGTGAGGGCCACTCCATGGGCTCCTGAATGTACACTAGATGAAGGAACCTTGTGGTCAGGCAGGCAGGCACCTCCTGAGCCTCCAGCAGGAGAGGCACTGGGTCCCTCTGCCAGGCAGCACTGGGTCCCTCTGCCAGGCAGCCCTGGAATGGGACCCTGGAATCTATGGGACCAGGGGAGGGTGGGCTCAGGGCCGGACAGTAGGATGCAGGGGTGGGGACAGGGGCTCAGAGCCGCATGGGCCACCTCTGGAAGCCCACCTCAGACCCCTGACTGTGGGCCCTGCAGAGCGCCCCTCGTCCTCCCCGCGCCCGGACATCGGGGAGGTGTATACTGATGGGGTCTTGCTGGTCTGGAAGCCCATGGAGTCCTATGGCCCTGTGACCTACATTGTGCAGTGCAGCCTAGAAGGTAGGGCTGTGCCTGTGCTGTCGACTCCTGGGGGGCCCTGTGGCTAGTGGAGGGAGGGGGGGTGCAGGAAGTACCAGGCCAATCTGTGCTTCAGGGGGGAAGGACTGCCCCCCTCTGTGCTCCTGGGCCGCCTTACTCGGGGAGGGGTCTCTCCACCTGGGACTCTGGAGTGGGGAGCCCTGGAGCTACCCCTCACCCGCTCTGTGTGGCCAGGTGGCAGCTGGAGCACGCTGGCCTCAGACATCTTTGATTGCTGCTACCTGGCCAGCAAGCTTTCCAGAGGCGGTGTGTATGCCTTTCGGACTGCGTGCGTCAGCAAGGCCGGCATGGGTCCCTACAGCAGCCCCTCTGAGCAGGTCCACCTGGGAGGGCCCAGGCACCTGGGTGAGCCTCTGCAGGACCTGGTGGGTGTCGGGTGGTGGTCCCTTTGGAATTGCCCTGCCACTTCACCAAAATACATACAATCACTGGGAAGGTTTTTTCTGGCCAGTATGCTGCCCCTCCTCCCTCCCAAAATGGTCCAAAGAATGAGAGGCCAAGTGTGGGTTTAAAGGGTGCCAGGGAAGGGGTGCGAGGAGACAAGGTTGGGGAGCTGGGGCTAGGGGGAGTCACCGGCTTCCCTTCCCACAGCCTCCGAGGAGAGCTGCCCTGCACCGCCAGCCCAGCCTCTCCCCAGCACGCAGACCTTCGCCTTCCAAACACAGATCCGAAGGTGGGGCCGCTCCCCAATCCGCTCTCCAGCATCTGCACCCCCTCCTTCCCTGCTGGGCTTCCTCCCTGCAGCTCTGAGAGTGGGAAGGGGCTGCAGGAGGGCACGTGGGGGACAGGAGGGGTCCTCAGTAGCCTGGCCTGTGCCTCCTCACCAGGGGCCGCTTCAGCGTGGTGCGCCAGTGCCGGGAGAAGGCCAGTGGACGGGAGCTGGCCGCCAAGATCATCCCCTACCGCCCGGAGGACAGGACAGCCGTGCTTAGCGAGTACGAGGCCCTCAAGGGCCTGCGCAACCCGCACTTGGCCCAGCTGCAGGCCGCCTACCTCAGCCCCCGGCACCTGGTCCTCATCTTGGAGCTGTGCTCAGGGCCGGAGCTGCTCCCCTGCCTGGCTGAGCGGTGAGGGGCCCCTTGGCCTGGATGCAGGGCTGGGGGAGGAGGGGCACAATGCCGGAGGCTCACTTCCTGGCTCGCATCCGCCTCCACTGGGAAGGGGCTCAGTGAAACCCACCAAGCTGAGCCCTCCCCTGTGCCCTCAGGGCCTCCTATTCAGAATCTGAGGTGAAGGACTACCTGTGGCAGATGCTGAGCGCCACCCAGTACCTGCACGCACAGCGCATCCTGCATCTGGACCTCAGGTCCGAGAACATGATCGTCACAGAGTACAACCTGCTCAAGGTGGTCGACTTGGGCAACGCCCAGAGCCTCGCCCAGGAAAGGGTCCTGCCTTCAGAGAGGTTCAAAGACTATGTGGAGACCATGGGTGCGTGGGGTAAGGGGTGGGCCAGGAGCCAGTCCCTCCCGCAGTCCTGCCTCCAGGCCTCACCTGTGCACCTGCTTTCCCAGCCCCGGAGCTCCTGGAGGGCCAGGGTGCCGTTCCACAGACTGACATCTGGGCCATCGGTGTGACGGCATTCATAATGTGAGTCACCGCGTGACAGGGGCGGGAGGCGGGGGGGTTGTGGGGGCTGGTGTGGGATCCATGAGGATGACCTCAGACCCCCTTGTGACCCGAGTCCCCTACCTCGCTCCTGCGCAGGTTGAGCGCTGAGTACCCAGTGAGCAGCGAGGGTACGCGAGACATGCAGAAAGGCCTGCGCAAAGGGCTCATCTTGCTGAGTCGCTGCTACGCGGGGCTGTCCGGGGGAGCCGTGGCCTTCCTGCAGAGCACGCTGTGCGCGCACCCCTGGTAAGGTGGCCCTGCCCCCCCACGATGCAGAAAGTGCGCAAAGGGCTCATCTTGCTGAGTCGCTGCTACGCGGGGCTGTCCGGGGGAGCCGTGGCCTTCCTGCAGAGCACGCTGCTGTCGCACCCCTGGTAAGGTGGCCCTGCCCCCCCCACCCCCACCCT